CTTCCCTTTTATCTCCAAAACTGGCAGAGATAGGTCCATAGTTACTATTGAAGTTGAATAGGAAGTCATATACTGGCAATCTAAATGTGACCTTAAAAATGACCTTTGGCCTACTTTTCACCATGAACTGAACTTTGCAAATTTTGCTTCCCTTTTATCTCCAAAACTGGCAGAGAATTTTGGTTCCCTTTTATCTCCAAAACTGGCAGAGATAGGTCCATAATTACTATTGAAGTTGAATAGGAAGTCATATACTGGCAATTTACTGTGACCTTGAAATTGACCTTTGACCTACCTTACGATGAACTTAACTTTGATTGTATCATTTTTAGTCATATATATTTTTGGCATATTTTGAAAATTTTTGTTGATTGCATTTTTACAGCTTGTCAAGCACAAGACTGGTGGCTGTGTCCCTTATTTTGTGTATGTGGGGGTCTATACGAATGCGCTTGCTCCAGCTGGTGGTACAATATTCGGAGGCGGTATCGCCTCTCTGATCCTCTAGTTAGTAAGTAAACTGGTGAACTTTCCTAAATTCAAGCTGATGGAAGAGTCACCGTATGCAGAGATTCAGGAGAGAGATGTGGAGATAAGAAGACAGAATATCAAGTTGATGGAAAAGATAGGAAGCGGGGCTTTTAGCCAAGTCTTTAGGGGCAGCATTTTCAATCTACCTGTAGATGGAAAACAAAATTGGAGCATTGCTGCTGTTAAAACTGCAAAGGGTAAATATTGATTTCAACATTTTCCATATAGTTTTGATGCTTGAAGTAAATTAAAAAAGAGACTGGAATGAGATGATTTAAGTACCCACTCTAATAAGTAAATCTTATATTTGTAGATACAAGTGACACATTCCTCTATGGCGAAATGATGAAAGAATTGAAGGTGATGCTAGAACTCAAACCTCACCCAAATGTGGTTACATTTTTAGGATCATGTACTGGAGACAATGGTATATAAAATGTTACATAATGTATGAATTTTAAAAGTTGGTTAAATTTTAAAATCACTGGTATTGAAGTGCTGAATGCATAAAACTGGGTTAACCGGTATTTAAGGACAGATAATTAAAAACCAATGCCAGGACATAAGTGCACACCAAAAATTTAAGAATTAGTATAAGTCAGTTCATTTTTTTTTTTTTTTTTTTTGCAGACTCAGTGGCATTCCGTGGAACTCTTGTACATCTGCATTAGGGGTTAACTACCAACTTCAAAATAATCGATAAATGCTTTAAAAATAAATTGAGTTGACTTATTTTAGGTGTGCCATTAATTATTGTCGAGTACCTTCCAAACGGAAATCTTCAGGACTACCTACGAAATGACCGTTTAAAACAGAAAGCACTCTATGGGAACTTACATGGGATCAGCTCATTGACACCATGTGATCTGTTAAAGTTTGCATTAGATGTTGCCAATGGAATGTCATATCTTTCATCAATGGCGGTAAGCAAGGATAATTTTTTTTTTGTTAAAACACATCAAATGACAAGACCATTCTTTCTCTTGCTTATTTTGTCCATTTTTCATATCAGTGAATTTTGCCATTAAAGATCACTTTCTTATTAACTTAAAAAGAAAAAAAGATGTGCCATAAAATCAACAATCTCAATATTTACGTTGTAGATTCTACATCGAGACCTTGCTGCGCGAAACATTTTGGTAGCTGAGGATAGAACCTGCAAGATTTCTGACTTCGGCTTTGTTAAGGACGTCATTGAAAGCCACACTTACGTAAAACAATTACAGGTCGGTGAATACCTTTGTACATGAAAGCCAAAAAATATTTACTTTGCATTCTTACCTTATATAAGTAAACTTATATAAACAGGTGTTATCAGCTGACAATTGCAATAACCACTTGACAGATAAACATGTATGTTTTGTTAATGTTACTTTTTAACAGGGTCGCTTGCCAATTCGCTGGATGTCCCCAGAAGCTCTGTTTGACAATATATATTCCACACAGTCTGACGTCTGGGCTTATGGAGTCTTGCTCTGGGAGATTGTCACATTGGGTAAGAATATTGCCAGATGGTCAAGCTCATTAAAGTCTTTCATATTTGTGTTATAATTGAAAAAAGGTTTAGCAAACAAGCAGTATGAAACTGTCATCACTTGTGTTCTATTGTTCCAGGGGTAATCATGATTTTCTGATGACGCATACGTAAGACTCTGCAGTATTTTAATAAAATACTGCAGAGTCATACATATTTTGTCAACTCTTAAAAGAGTTACAGATTGTAATTCAATATCTTTTATCTTATCAATAAAGTCTCTTCTTTACCCCAGGATTTTAACCAGACTTATTAAAATGTGGTGCAAATAGTGACTAAATAAGTATCTGATAAATGTTATTATAATTATTATTTGTTAAAATATTAATATTATTATCATTTATTATTATTTGTGTAATATTGATTAAATTTTCAATCACACAACATTTAATATTCTTCTTTAATATTGATCAGATGTTTTTAAGGGATAATTTAGTATAGGTTGGTTTCTGACATTTATATAATTGCATTTGTATGTTACATATGTTACAATTCTCACTGCTGCTTGAATATTATTTAGGTTCCAGTCCCTACCCTGGTATGTCAGCCAAGCAGGTGATGGAAGCTGTAACTGAGGGTTACAGGATGCCACAACCACCACACTGTTCACTGGGCATGTGAGTATACAATGTTAATTTTGATATACATATGCATGCAGGCCTGTAGCCAGCAATTTCAAAAGGGGGGTTCTTTTTCTGAAAAAGTGGACCTTTTCTCATAAAAACTGCAAGTACCTAGATCAAATTTTACCCAGAGTGGACATTTTCCCAGCAAAAGGGGCGGTTCTTTCTAACCCCCCGAACCCCCCCTGGCTACGGGCCTGGCATGTATGTTTAAAAACTGTAATGCTTGTCAAGTGTAATTTTACTGAATGATGAGCAATAATAGTCCCTGTTTGTCGTGTATCGTTCCAGGTATATCATCATGTTGTCCTGCTGGGAAGAAGTCCCAAGTTCAAGGTCAACATTCAAAGACATTGTTAACTCCTTGGACATCCTCCTGGCCTCTGACAGCGATGTTCTTACTCTTGGAAAGTTTGAGGAGAAATTGTACGAGGACATTGACAAGTACAATGCAGAAGAAAAATGTTGAAGAATATTTCAAATACATGTGGTCTCACTTGGGCATTAGTATACATTGCAGCTTTGGACAGTATTTGTTTGTGTTTAATGAAATAGGCATAGTGAATATATACCTGTATTTAAAGCATAATATCCATTCTGCCAAAACAGGTTTGAAATGTCCACACAGGACAGGATCTAGTAGCGGTGCCATCTATGTGACACGTACATAGCAACCAAATATATGGCTTATGCTATGGGAAGGTTTTAATTAAGTGCCAAATAGAGCATTCGGAACCGGGAACTAACAGATCAGCAGACCGCAGATCAAATATTGATGACCAAATTAGAATGCTTGTTGTGTGATCCCCGCAGGGAATGTATTCAGTGTCTAATCAGGAATTAAGCGGCAAGTTTGAAGTTGGTGGCTACATTTGATCCAGGATTCTGTAATTACTTCACTGTTCTGAATACCCTCATAAAAAACAGTTTGACTCTGTAAAAGTTCTTTGTACTTAATAATATATATATATATATATATATATATATATATATCAGAATAATTCCCTAAGAAGGGCTGGTTTATTCACTGACAATGGGAGTCGGTTCAAACTGACCCAAAGAAACCCTCTTGCTGTCATTATAGAGAAAATGCAATATGGAGACTATATATATATGGTAATTGGAATAATGATTGGAAACTATAAAAATCTGAAGGTTTATTGCAGCTAAAATTGTATAAAAATGTTTTGATTGAATGAGGAGCCAATAACATTAGATTTATTTTCTTTGTTTTGACAGTCAGTTCTGGTTTCTCAAAAATCAATTAAGCAAAGTATATATTTTAATAATGGGTTCATGAAACAGGGTAATTTAGTGTGGCTTAATTTCAGCATAAAATTATTATTAGCTTTTCACACCATTTATATCTGTAACAGGTAGCACTGTACAGGCCTTATTTTGTGTATATTGCCTCTATTGTCCAGCATTTAATTATTGACGCACTTGCCAAACTTCAGCTCTGCTCTTCCTGCTTCTCAGGAATATTTAATATTTTTAGAAGCTTTCACTATTTTACAAATAAAATTATAATATTTAATAAGAAAGTATTGTGCTTTAATACTTATTTCTTTTATTTACATTCTTTGATTGCCCTTTTTATTAATGATACACAATTGTATATAGGATTCCAAATTGGATTTTATGCATCGTGGTAAACGTGTGGACACACGCTTGTACACACACAGTCTAGTATAAATTGGACCATGGTCCTAAAATTTTTGGAAAATCTTCCTGATATTGAGATGAATCGTGTTTGCAGCTTTTTATGTACAGACACAGATGTGTCTGTACATATTGCAATCACCTGCGTCTGTCGTCGCCGATGCCGATGGTGATGCCGATGCCGTGCACTTTCCTTGTAAACATGATAAGTGGAGGGCAGTTTTACTTTTTGGCTTTATATTTACAGAGCTGGTGAATATTCATAAAACACAGGTCAAGTTCGAAAATCAGCATGATCGGGCCATTATTGTAGAAGTTATGCTGTTTTTTCACTTTTCAGCATATTTTTCACATTTCCTCAGATTCAATTCTTAGGCATGTTAACAGTCTCATTATTAAACTAATAAGATACGTAAAAGTTTTTGTTTGACATTTCCTGCATCTTTACAACATTGTTAGTTGATTTTGTAAAAATGATGGTAAACTTGTTATCGTGTATTGTGTAATAAAGT